AGTTTTATTGTTCTTTTGATAATTTATTAGTGTAACATCAATTATATATACTAGGCCAATACCTGCACATACGCGCGGGTTTTTTCCGATTAAAATTCTAAAAATTGTGATGTGTAAATTTGTGGTGTTAGATTCGGGAGAAAAAATTGTTCTTGAAGTTTTTTGTGTAATATTCACCAAAATTTGTAAAACAATTTCAGCCGAAAATATGTATGCGAAATATCATGGAACTGGAAGGCAAGAATTGTAAACTGGAAGGCAGGACCCTCACACATCTACTAAAGTAAAAGCGAAAAGAGAAACAAATAAATTTGTAGGTAAAACTTCTAACTCTTGGGAACCATTAAACCACTTTGAATGGAACAAGCGAATGAATATAGAACATGGTACCTTTTTTGAAGTGTCTCTGCTTTTGATGTTGGAACATCATGCGACTTCATTCCTTTGATTGGACGATTTGGATCATAATTTTATGTCGTAAGAAATGTAAAGTCTATCACATATCTTATTCCATGAATTGTAGTCAATGTTTCCGCTATATTTATGGCCAAAATCACCTAAAATTTACAAACAGACAAACTGAAGTATTATCATCTGAAGCATTTGAAATATTTGACAATCAAATTTCCAAACATAAGCAAATAGTAGGTAACCAACCTACTTTAACCTTACGAAAACCAGCCAGTGCTGGTAGTACAATAATTAACTCTAAACCAATGTTTCTTTCTCATCCTCGTGATAAAGGGAAGTGCAAAACCAATGTTTGAATATCTCACCCCATGCTTCGCTAATTTCTGCTTCCACTTGCTATCTCAAGACCAACTCTATTATTCTGGATCATGACCCTGTAGTAGCAAAAATACTATGAAGCTTTTGTGTCTTGAAAGGTTCAAATTGACAAGGGAATGAGAACAAGCAACCCAACTTTGAAGACCAATTGCAAGCAATATAATTTGTGATTCTGTTCATATATTATAGTTGGCGTTTGTCTGCATTCTCCATTAAAAATGGGATCTCATTCAAATGTCCATCAAAATCTGTACACATAACATGGTTGAGAGGAAGTAAAATAAGATATAATCCTATTGCAGGTTGACTAAGTGAGTTTGCATATATATAAACATATAAATAAATAAAAATTATTGTTTCTAAGATCTATCAACTATAAGGAGATTTGTGTGTCCATCAAAATTGAAACAATGGCATCTTTATTTTTGACCGAAAGATTTTTGAATTGAAATCAATGTAGATCAAGAGTACTCATATCCCATGTTTCATTTCTTAAACAACCATTGTACAAACCCATGACACGTTAATATTCTTTCAACTACGATGTTTAAAAATGACTTACATAACAGAACCAAAAAAACGAGTTATAATAGAAGAGAGATTTCTAGATAATACCAGCTCGAGATGAAGTTGATTTTTTCCAGCGAGATTTACATAACGTAGCATCATAGCATAAGATCACCAAACCATTGGCCACACTTCTCCGCATGATTTGTTTTTACTAGTGCATTCTTACTTGTCATAATGGCCAACAAATTTATGTTACAAACACTTGTACAAAGGACCATACATTACGAATATAATCTCCATAAATCAAGCATTTGATTACCCTTAATCGAACAAACCTAGAGTCGAGAAAACTTTATTAATGATATGTGGTGGATTTCTCAGGCCTCATCGAGGAGAACATTTTTTTTCATCGGAGTAGCTATTCCATTCAAATTCTTCATGAGAGTTCTCTACGCCACTCTTGCAAATCAATTGCAGCTGGTACAAACACAACACTATTTCTCGTCGTTCTCCTTGACAAAGTTTATGTAACGTCCGTGAACCGAAAAGGGCGGTTGGCTGGTGGAGTGCGCGACACAAGGGGTGATTTCGGTCCGTCGGTTCATTTTGAATTGTTT